GCTAGAATTGTAGGATTTAAAAAGTTTGCGTTTTTAAAGCCCCTCGCCCAAACTTTAGCAGCAAGCCCTGGATTTGAATAACGGCATTGCCATCAACTTTCTGCTAATTTGGCATTGGCATAAGCTGCTGGGGCCTTCAGTGGGCAATTTTCACTATATTTTCTTCTTATCTCATGCTTTAAACTGTGTATTTGTATACTACAAATACAGATTTAATTTAATCCAGCTAAACTGGAGGATGGTCTTATGCCATGTAGGCCACATATGGGACTGTGTTCCACAAGAACAAAAAAGGTTCTTGACAAAAAGGAACGTGAGCATGTATCTAAAGATATAATAAACCCTTTATGCATTTGTTTGCAGGCTTGGGGACAGAATCACATCCAAGCAACACACGATTAGAAGTCCACAAGTAAGTGTATACTATACGCAAATTTTATTTATTTTTTTTATTTTTTTCTCAAATCTATGGATTGTATTTAAATGTTTTATTAAAAAGCTTTTATGTATGTACTGGTCTTGCTAAAAATTGGACAGAAAAGCAACCAATTTTTAAAATGGATTAGTCCTCTTTATACGGGTCTATTTAATAATACGTTCACCCGAGATATACACAGCTTTCAACCAAGATTCCTAAAAATGCATGGATCTTGGATAGCAGTTTTGATAAGTAAACTCCTTAGTTTTCAAGCTGTCTTATTTCAAGCAGAGAAAAAATAAGCTACCCCTGACTGCTCAATATATTTACCTTGAGATGATTGAGATGATGAAGTGCTTGATGATGTTCCCCTTTGTGTGCTTGTTGTTGACCCACCTTGCACAGTGTTGCTGCAGGTGGAAAACAGTTCTTTTTAATATATTACCATTACAGAGAAAACACCGATCGTGATATATTATAATAAATGGAAAGTAGCATATAGCTGTATGAAGACTCAGACCTTTCACATTTCAACAAGGAACCTTTTATGATTCAATGGAATCCCTTTTACTGTCATTCACTGGGATGGCATGATATATTTTCTAGTATATGTCAATTAAAGATAAATTCCAACCAAAAACTATTGGAGGAGGAGAAAAACTATTGGAGGAGAAACCATGGAGGAGGGGAAATTGTGACATTCATCTGTACCTCTGAATGATGCGAATCCATTGAAAAGAATGCAATACATGTTCTGAATGGAAGAGGTGCAGGACAACCAACCTGCTATGCTCAGTGTACTAGAGCCAGACCTATTTGGTTCAGTTCTAGAAGCCGAGAGCATTGACATCCCAGCACTGGAGGGGATCACTGTGGTGCATACTAGTGCATTATGGCATAAAGATCCAGGTGCCATTTTTTTATGATCAGGTTTAATTCCACTTTATTCCACGGCACCACCTGCCTGGGGCTTGCATGTTCTCCCTGTGCCTGCATGGGTTTCCTCCGGGTACTCGGGTTTCCTCACACAAGACTTGCTGGTAGGTTAATTGGATCCTGTCTAAATTGGCCCTAATATGTGTATGTATGAATGTAAGTTAGGGACCTTAGATTGTACACCCCATGAGGGTTAGGGACTGATGTGAATGTACAATATATATATATGTGTAAAGCGCTGCGTAAATTGGCGGCGCTATATAAGTACCTGAAATAAATAAATAAATATTGAGTGATCAGACACCAATATTCCTAGACATAAAAGGGTCATCTTTTGTCAGCAATATTGATGACAGTGTTATACCAATCTTTCTTGGTACATGCCACCTTCTACAGTAAGCTTGGGACAGGTACCACAGGAGACAATATTCCCACCATTCTTCCTTCACAATGCAATTTCTTACCTGTCGTCCAAGAGTTTGCGGTATGTTGCAATCTCGCTCTCTAATTTTGTCTTGGCGTCCAGAAGATGCTCATACTCTGCAGTCTGACACTCTATCTCTGCCCTGATTAGTTCCAGTTGCTCCTCAATGGCAGTAATCTGAGCCTGGATCTGGGCAATCTTTAGACAGTATTGTCCTTCTGTTTGTGCTAAGGTTTCTTCAAGAGATTTTTTCTGTCAATGGAAAATTAACACAGATGAACCACTAACCTGAAATACAAGCTGAATTTGCATATGGATAACATTATATCTGAGATATAATTGTTATCATTTGATGTGAAATTTAGTTATGTTTCTTATATCATTCCTATTAAAACCTTATTGCTATATTTAGCATTCAAAAACAAGGGCTGCCTGTAAAGAAAATTTTTTTTAACGTTTATCATTCCCATTGCCCATGCCCTGGAACTTCACTCACTTGAAAGGCGAAAGCATTTGGAAGAATCTTCAGCATCCAACTTTTAGGGAATCTGGTCACCCTTTGCACTTTGTGGTTTCATCCATTGCCTCCTAGGTCACTACAGAGCACAGCAGTGGCATAGGGACCAACATAAATGCCATAGCACCCTGTGGAGGACCAGGCATCTAACACATGTGGAAATGTTGGATGCTGAAGATTCTTCTGCAGTGGTAGCTCTTCAACAAGTGTTAAGGAAGGCCATGTTTTCAAGTTTTTATTATTGTGATAGAATTTCTATAACCACTTTACTTCCTTCTTTAAAGAAATGCCTGTAGCGGAAAGGAAAAAGAAAATTAGCGCAGGGCAGGCATGACTAGGCCTAGAGTGGGGAGGAGAATAGAAAGGGTTAATTATGTGCCGGGGGGGTGGAAAAGTATAGCTGGGGGTGCTGGTTGGTAGAGGGAGAGCGTGGGTGGGCTCTGCTGCACCTTAGGGTGGGGTGTCCCGGTGGAGGGGGGGCGTCAGTCGGAGCTGGACGTTGGTGAGTGAGCTTCCCTCCCGCCCTCCCTATTTTAGGGAGTATTGTGTTCCTCTCGGGGGGAAAGGGGGGTTATTTCGGTCTTGGGCGGTTGTTGGTCTTTGGAGGCGGTTCTTATCTTGGAGGTACAGATAATGGTGTGGGAACCATTGGTGGTATGGTGTGCCCGGGGACATTCCAGTTAACCAAGGTGTAACTGGAAGGTGGTGGTGCTGCACTGCGGACGGTATGGTTGTCTCCGAGCTGGTTGGTTGCGGCTGGAGGCCTTGTGTAATATGGTTGTCCACAGGTGCATTTCAGATCATTTTTGGGGGGTGCCTTCGAAAACCAACAACAACAACTCTGTATGTTTCTGTTATAAGGAATGGTTGGTGTGTTAAAATGTTTGTTAATAAAAGGCCATGTTGGCCATTTACTCCAAAATTGGTGTCATGTTTTCCTTTAAGTATAGCCAAAAGGGGGGGGGGGGGGGCGGGATTTGGATGACCTATCTCTGGTGCTCTAGTCAAGGTTGTCAGAAGGAATTTGGCCAAATGTTGATACGCTATGAAATATCTCAAGGTCTCCCACAATGGTGGGAAATACAAAAATGGTGAACATAGCCAGCATGGACACATACGGAAGTTAAAATATAATAGCTGTCCTAACCTTTTTCAACTAGAGAGGCTAGAAATACTTTCTTAAGATTTATTACTCCTTATATCTGCTGACTAAAATATGCATTTCTTTTAACTCTGTACCATGGCAAGTTGTGACTGAAGCTCAATCTCCAAAGCTTGAAGGGACTTCTTTAATTCAGAAATCTCGCTCTTACTGCTCTTCTCTTCTTGTAGTCCAACTGATATTTCCTTCTTCAAACTTTCACTCTAGGAAAGCAATGAGAATAAACAATTAAATACATTTTTGTAAATACCGAGAACCAGTTACACAGGATTATTTTTTACTCTAAAGGGGAGCACTGTTCTTTTTTATGTCCATTTTGCATTCTATAGTAGTAAAGACCCCAGAGTATTAGATGTGACATTAACAACTTTACCTCTTGGAGTGACCCACTGACATAAGTGCCCCAACATGAAAAATAGCAGGACAATTCCATTGCATAACCAAGTAGCTATGTAACATGGCAGTTGCATAGCAAAATGGCCAGCAGCAATCAGACCCTCAGCTTTGCTCTTGAAAGGTCTCAAGGCCCCTTTTCCACAAGGCAACACATCAGAGGTTAGTAGTTTAAGCACGATGTATTATTGTATGTATGCTGATGATTTGCTGCATTGCTTATACATGGCCCTTACTGAAAGCAAGCTAACCAACAACAACTTCCATCTTCCTCATCATTGTCCAATTTCTTTTGCTTGGCCATTTCAAGATGTTTCATTGCAAACCTGGAAAGTGTTCAAGGTATGTTTAGTGTATATGTACATAAGATGTTTGAATCACAACTCCTTAGATCCCTAATACCCATGCTTTGGCTTGGGGGCTTCATAGGGTTTTCCACCTGGGTCTTGGACCCCACAGTTAGTAGTATGAACATTTATTAAGTGTTCTTGCATGGCAAGACCACTTACTGTTATCTCACATATATATTCTTATTATTATAGCCAAATTTACCACCCTAAATCCTCCCACAGTTTTTACACTACATAGACAGTAATATACCGAAACGTGCGGATTGTTCCTGATTGGTGTGCTATTACTTTGTGGAACGTTTCGCCGAATGGTTCACAAAATATTGGCGTTTTTGTGGTGAAATTGATCCTATAGGAATGAATGGTGGAATGTTCAAAACTAGAGTGGGAGCTGACAAAACGGTTTCACAGTTACTCCAGCCACTCCAACCAGTTACTCCGCCCACTCCAGTTGTAGACTACTGGTGGAGGCAAGAACACTCCACACAATTTCCCCAGAAAGTGTACCTTTTCTAGTTTGTAAATAGAGTGGTAGTTTTTAGAAGTTTCAAGCAGCATATACCCAGACTGTCTTGGATTGCCTCCCATAGAATATTTCTAGTCATAGCTACATCTGTCACATGTCCACTGCCCATGTCCTCTAATCAGTCTGCAGTCTCCTCTGACAGACGTCTATAGTATTACATATACTGAACATTGTGTGTGGCTCCTTGGTGACATCATGGGTCAGTTTTGAGGATCTATATACCTCACAAATGGACAACCATATAAATTGAATTAAAATATAAAATATTTCCTACCATGTTTTTAAATTGGTCTTCTGCCTCCTTGCGATTCTTGTCAGCCATAACCTCATACTGCTCTCTGAGCTCATTCATTTTCTTTAGCAGATCATTTCCTGGAGCAGCATTCATTTCTACATTGACAGAACCAACAGTTGTTTCATGGTGTCCTTTAACCTCCTACAGAATAATTAAAACGAAATGTGGTTAATTAACATTACACCATTACAAAAACCAAGGAATGCCGACAGTATTGGTGATAACTCTCTAGGTCTTACCTCCTCATGGTTCTTCTTAAGAAGAGCAATTTCTTCAGTAAGGCCTTCAAACTGAGATTCCAGGTCAGTTTTGGACAGGGTCAGGTCATCCATTATTTTGCGTAGGCCAGCAGTATCAGCTTCTACTGATTTGCGCAGAGCAAGCTCATTTTCGTACCTGACAGGAGAAACAAATGGAGCTAAATGCAATGTGTTCTAATATATAAATATTAAAACATATACAACGTGTATAAAAGTGTTGTCAATGACCCAAACAGAAGTTTCTTTGAATGTGACAAAACATTTTCATGATATAAAGATGGTATTCCTAGCATGTCTTAGCATAGAGAAAAAAAGTAACACTGAATAGTCTCAGCTGTCAGGAGAAACATGAGCTTTAGCCTTTAGGATGAAACACTAAATTTAATGTTCTACCTTGTCAATGTGCAGACCTGTACTTTGTTGACTTTGAAGAACAGCAGACCAACCCAGCATTTGTTAATAAATCACTAGAAGCTTCATTGCATCTGCACATCAGCTGAATAATTTTTGAGCATCACTGAAATGCTGGGCTGAGGACCTCTCATTCTTAGGGTGACATTATTTATCCCCTCCCTACAATGGCAGCACTTCCCACAATGGTGACTTTCCTGGCTTCCTATGTGACTGTGGAGTCACTTGGGGCTTCCCAGGAATTTAAAGAAGCCTACTTGATTTCTGGATGCCATGTTAGCTGTCATTGTGGAGATCTATGACATTAGCCCTATCATGGCAACATAGAAGTGCGAGCAGAATGTGGGTGATGAATTTGCATAGAGGGCAGACCTATGTAACCAGAAAATGGAGCTAAGACATGGGTCAAGAGTGGCTTTGTCATCACAATGCCATGGTCTGAGGCAAATGCTTCCTTCCTAGAAAATCTGTGCGAAGGAAAGACATAAGTGATTAGGAATAATGAGGAAGGCCTAAGATGTTACTGTGCTTATTTTAAAGATATTTTCTAGTTCCTGTTTAGAGTCCCTGCACAACTATCAGCACCATCCCCTTTAGATCCCTCCTCCAGCGTTTATGCGTTTTCTTTTTATATTTCCCTTTTTCAATTTCTTTGTGCCTGTGACATGATGCTCAGGGTTCTCCTTCTCTGGGTGTAGGCAGTCCATAATGGAGAGAATGGCGCTGTCACCATCAAGTCAGCATTGCATTATGGGGGTGGGCAACATGACATGCTGACCAATGATTGTGCTAGTTTGACATTTAAAGCTGTATGTCACTCTCTTCATCAGCATTGACTATTATTAATCCTTATGCTACTAGCACTAGTAAATAATAGAAAATAGAAAAGTACATTATATTTACTTCTTTTAAACTTTTTTTTTTTACATTTCTTCAGTGCTTTCTGGTTTCCAGGCCTAGGTAAATGATGTCATACAAGAACGTTCCTCTTGCTTGCATGCCTGAGCTAAGGACAGATAGATTCCAAAAAAGTAAATGCTACGTGAATCATCTGCCCTTACTCAAGATGGCAGCAGGGTGTTTTTCAAAATGAATTATCAGCAAAATAAAGCATGGAGATGTGATTGAATGGGGGAGTTTGCTTTGAATATTAAAAAGGAATTAAATATCGTTCTTGGTTTGTGGTGCTCAATACAGTGTAGTTCCGCTTTTAACAAACTAAACTTACTTCAGCTTGAAATCATCTGCTGCCAATCTTGCGTTGTCGATCTGCAAAACTACAGCATGGTTATCATGGCAGGCTGTAACAATCTGTAAAACAAAAATAAACACCATAAAAATGTTTGCACTTGTTAAATAATAGGTTACCCTAAAATTAATTCTTACTTTTTTTTCTAACATGATTAGAATCACTCAGTACATGAGCAGAATGTGAATTATTACATATGTTCTTTCAAAGCACTTTTCTTTTTTTTTTTTTTACCAGTCCTTAAATGTGGTGGCTGCATTAGTTTTTCTTTTTGCAGGCTTTTTCCCATTTATTTTCTCCTGGTAATCCTGCCAGCAACATGCTTCCTACCCTAAGGTAGCAATGCCCACTTACTGTAATGTATCTATGGAGGAGTAGCATTGCCACCTAGGGCATGGTTCCAGAACACCTCCCTTTTTCTTCTTCTCAATAACATAGAGGGTGGGTGTTTTGTAGTCCTCAGAGTGAACTGAGACTAAGGTAACCAATAAGAACGCAGCGTAGAAAGTTATCTGCTAACATGATTTATGGCAGGATCAACAGGTATATTTTTGCACTTATCAACAAATATAGCAAAATATATTAATTCTGCATTATATTAATGGTGACATTTTGTAAAGCACAATGTGGCTAGTGAGATGTAATAAAGTCATCCATTTATTGCCTTGAAATCTCAGTGCACATCACAGTTGGAGTGCTACTTGTACAATTCCACATTTGGCAACATCAGCTGAAAATATGGCTAGTAGTTTTTTGTTTTGTTTTTTGCCTAAATTTCAATTTAAACCCAGAATTTTATTTTTATTTTTTTACACAATAAGAGTGATACTTTTGTTTGTTTGGGTATTTTCCATAATTTCATGTCCTGGTAATAGCAAATGAGCGTCATCTCCTAAACAGGGTCACCAACAGTTTATAGTCTTTGGATGTATTGCTTTCAGTTTTCAGGGTTTTTTTTCCCTAGATTTCTCCTGCTGATCTTGCCATTTTAACACACTTCCTATCCTAGGTGGCTCAATCATTGTACTGTATCTATGGAGGAGCAGCGTTGTAACCCTTGTTGATATCCTGACTTAGACTACAAACAGCACCCCCTTCTGCTCATCTCTATTATATAGGGAGGAGGGGTTTTGTAGGTTATAAAAGGTGGGAAAGCTGATAATGTTGTTTTGAGACAAAAGTAACTAGAATTCCAGCAGGATCAACAGGTATCTGCAATAAATGTGCTTAGTCTGAAAACAATGAAAGCTAATGCAGACACCACATCTAAGGACTTGTAATCTGCAATACACAGCATTTTTGTTCTTGGGTTATTAAATTCTGCAAACCCTTCTTCATCTGTTTAATAAAATGTCTGCAGTTTCATTCATATCCAGTATATCAAGGTGGAAAAATATACTACGCTATCAAGTTGTATATTGAAGAATTGTTTTATCTTTGCACCTATCCTGAAGCAGATAAAGCAATTTTATTAAAGCACATCTGTTAAGAGAGAAATATGGGGCTGCCATTGCCAAAGTCTCTGAAAACGCTAGTTGCTTGGCTGTATTTGGCTTCAATGTGGCCAAGTCACAGACCCAGAACAAGTATGCAGCAAATGAAAGACTGTGAAAAGTAGGAATTCCTCATCTTTATACTTTTTTCAGGTCAGCAACTCAAAAGTATTAAAACCTAAGCACCCCAATGACAGACAGATGGCTACTGCTGAATGACTTTATATCCCCCTTAAATTATTTACATTTTATTCTGCCAGTTTAATAAATTGAGAATGCATTCCTATCAGAAACTTACTTTAGCCTTCAGATCTTCAATGGTCTTAAAGTAATTGGAGTAGTCTTTTCCTGGTTCTCCTTTGGTGCTACCACCTCTTTGCTTCTCTAAGAAGTCCTTAATCTTTTGATCAAGATCAGCATTTGATGACTCTAACCGTCGGACTGTGTCAAGGTACGTAGCCAAGCGGTCGTTAAGGTTCTGCATTGTTTGTTTCTCATTCATGTTGAAAAATGAATCACCACCTCCAGCACCTGCACCAGCACCACCGCCATAACCTGCCCCGCCAGCACCACCACCAAAGCCTCCTCCGACAGCTCCTCCAGCCCCATGACCAAAACCTCCAGCTGCTTGACCAAAACCTTGACCAAAGCCAGCACCACCTTGGCCAAATCCACCACCTACTTGGCCAAATCCACCACCGACTTGGCCAAACCCACCACCGACTTGGCCAAAGTTACCACCCATACCACCTACACCACAATATCCAGCAGAACCAGCATTCATGCCTCCTGAGACAGAGCTCATGCTTGACATCTGAGAAGAACTGTAAAAAGCCATGTTCAAAGCAAAGGACTCCTTATCCAGAAGAAAACAGAACAGCTCCGATAAGAGAGTGATATCTGTACACATTTAATTCTTTATATATATGGGATCTAAGGGTGTGTCCTAGATGAATATTTATGTATTTATTTAACAAGCATTAGATGGCTTGTCAAGTGATTGCCAGTTTTATTTTACAAGCAGTAGATGGCTTGCCAAGTTATTGCCAATGTTTATCACTTAAATCAATAATAACTAATGATCAGCTTGCATCATTCTACCTTCTGGTCTTCTCCGACTTGTTTGTTTGCTGCGTTAGCATGATTTTTGGGTGGAGTACAGGGCATGGTCAGAACACCAGCACAAACAGTGCATTTCTAATTACTCCATAATTCTCAAGAAACAGTCCTATTTATAAAGCCGTGAACCTGACAATCACCAAACATTCACTGCAGGTGAATCCTGCAGGAGCATGTTTTTAAATGTCAGTGGCTGATTCAACACATACAAACACAGATGGCTGAGTATCGGTTTTATCACCCCCTGGCCCACCTAAATTCTATCATTACAGCTGGACAGGGCTATACACATGCCACAGCAATTTTAACTCAGTCTGCAGAGTTTGACACCCGGTACCGCTTGTTAAGCTTGCCCTTTGAGGGTAATGGGAGTGCTATGGCTCGTGGTTACAGTGCAGTATTTTAATTTAAAAAAATCCCCCTTGGGAATAAAGAGAAAAAAAAAAGGAGACATTCAGTAGGCAGCAAGACCGCCTCTTGAATGGCTGCCAGCCGCTGATATATCATCCTCTGAAAAGCAATCTTTTGTGAGTCACTTTTCAGAGGGAGGTAAGCAGTGCCATCCATCTGAAAGTGCCCATTCACTTTAATGTTTAATCTTGATGGATTACATTATTTAAAAAAATGTGTATGTAAACCCTAAATCTATTTTTCAGTATCAGAGCTGCAGAAGGCATCTTATAGACCTGATGGCAACCGAATGGTTAACTGAAGAAGCATGCATGGCATGTTATCAACACTGCCGCTAATTGTGAGGCAGCGGCAGGGCCGCCAATAAGGGATTACAAGTTGCCCTGCTCTGCTGGCCTTGTGGTCTCCTGTTCACCTGACTATGTTTAGATTTGCATCTTAACTGCCGCTCCTTTGAAAAACACCCCCTCTCTCCCTCCCTCGCTTTCTCTCCTTCCCTCTCCCCCCTTCTCTCCCTCTCACCCCCCTCTCTTCTCTATCCCTCTCCTCCCTCCTCTTCTTCTCTCTCTCTCTTCCTTCTCTCTTTTCTCTCTCCCTCCTCTCTCTTCCTCTTGTCTCTCCTTCCCTCGAACCCCTCTCTCCCACTCTCTCTCTCCCCCTCTTTCCCTCTTCTCCTCTTTCTCCTCTCTGCTGTGTGTTCCCCCTCTCTCTTTCTCCCCCCCCTCTCTCTGCCTTCTCTCTCCCTCTTCTCTTCCACCCCACCATTTCCCCTTCTCTCTCTCTCCCCCCTTCTAGCTCCCTGTCTCTCCCCCCTTCTCTATCTCCCTCTTCTCTTACCCTCTCTCCCCCCTTCTCTCGCACCTTCTCCCCCCTTCTCTCTCCCCTCTCCCCCTCTCTCTCTCTCTCCCTCTCTCCCCCTTCTTCTCTCCCTCTCCCCCCCATTCTCTCCCTCTCCTCCCTTCTCTCTCCCCCTGTCCCTCTCTCTCTCCCCTTCCCCCTCTCTCAGTCTCTCCCCCTTCTCTCTCCCTCCCCCCCCTTCTCTCTCCCCCTCCTCCCCCCTCTCTCCCCCTTCTCTCTCCCTCTCTCTCTTCCCCCCTTTCTCTCTTCCTCACTCTTCCCCACTCTCTCTCTCTCTCTGCCCCCCCCCCTTCTCTCTCCCTCTCCCCCTTCTCTCTCCCCCTTCTCTTTCCTCTCCCCCCTTCTCTCTCTACCCCTTCTATTCCCCTCTCTCCCCCCATTCTATTACCCTCTCTCCCTCCCTTCTCTCCCCCCCCTTATCTCTCCCTATCTCCCCTTCTCTCTCCCTCCTTTATTTCCCCTCTCTCCCCCCCTCTCCCCCTCTCCCCCCCCCCCCCCCCCTTCTCTCTCCTCTCTCCACCCCTTCCCCCCCTTCTCTCTTCATCCCTCTTCCCCCTTCTTCCCCTTCCCCATTCTCTCTCCGTCTCTCTCTCCAGCCCCTCTCTCTCCCCTCTCCCCCCCCTCTCTCTCCTCTCTCCCCCCCTTCTCTCTCTCCCCCCTTCTCTCTCCCTCCCTCTTCCCCCTTCTCTCTCCCTCCATCCCCCCCTTCTCTCTCCCTCTCCCCCCCCCCTTCTCTCTCTCCCCCTTCTCTCTCCTCCCTCCTCCCCCTTCTCTCTTCTTCTCTCTTCCCCATTCTCTCTCCCTCTCTCTTCCCCCTTTCTCTCTCATCTCTCTCCCTCACCCCCTTCTCTCATCTCTCCCCTCCTCTTTTTCTCTATGCCAAGCTTGAAAGTTGAACTGCTGCCCACTTCTGTTGGCACTTGCATCACTCCTCATCCTTACACCTCCTGTTATCACTTCCAGAGTGGCTGAACCCCCCTTGACAACTCAGTCTCCACTGAGTACACAGTATTTTTTAAAAAGCCTTTTATTTTTATTTTTCTGATGTAAGCGTATATACATACAGACATATCTGATAGTCATCTTCATTCTTTTTGCACTGTAGTCTGCTGAAACATTTTTCCTAAGATGAATTATGTAACAGTAATGGCTCATCACACAGGCAGAACAACGCTGCCCATTGGTGCGCACTGCACATAGTTTTGTGTGCATCTAAATGGAGCACTATAGTAATCAGTGAGCCTATCACATGGCTGAGCCTATCTGCGACAATGAGCGCGGTGTTTAACTGCACAAAAAAAAGTAGTTCACTTCTACATCCAGGGCTGCACAGATCTGCAAATTTTACATTGCAATGCACATAAGCATGCCTGAAGGCCCCTAAATGCATATACGTGTAAATGGTGTAGCTATTCATTTGAATGAAAGAAGAATTGTACACACCTAAATGCATCAAAATGTGAGTATTTTAAGCAGGGTCTTCTGCCAGGTCTGCCAGCAAGAACATGGTACTGATGTGTTAACATAAGTATTCCTGGCCAAAATGTCTTGCGATTATTTTGTATGTATTTGCACAAACACAAGTAAATTCTAGAACTTAGAATGCAATTCTAACCTCTTCAAATTAACATTTGATGTGTGTACAAGCATGCTTTTATTTTTTTTTTTGTTTTAATTTTTATTACTTTTTTCTATTTGCTTGCATTTTCGTTCCCTTTAAACTGTAGTATGATATGGATCTATTCTTACCAGTCTGTTTTTTTTTCTTTGTTCTTAAAGTAGAACTAAAATCAAAACTTTTTGTAAAATTTTGGATAGGATTATAACCCAAATCAGTTTTTTGCCATTTGTCCCATTAGGGAGATTTTCCTTCACACTTACTGTACCATAGCCCAAACAGGAAGTTAGAGGAAATCCCTCTGCGTCGTTCAAATGGAGTGTTGAACTGTGAAGGTTGATATATTTTCCTATATTTTCTTTACTTTTTTAATCCTACGTTTTTTTTTAAATATGAATTTATGTTGTCGAGGTTGGGTCTAAACCAGGGTTTTTTTTTAAATGTGTTTTTTTTGTTTGTAGTCTTACTGGCGATTCCCTCTCAGGGGCGGACTGCCCATTTGGAAACTCGGGCACTGCCCGAGGGCCCGGGGTCAGTAGGGGGCCCCATGAGATGCCCCTAGTACCTTTTTCATAGGCTTTTTTTGAGTTCGGGCAAGGACACAGGGGCCCCATGATCCCCTATTGCCCGGGGGCCCCATGAGTTGTCAGTCCGCCCCTGCTCCCTCACATTAATGTATACGTTCATATGGTTGGACCTAGAGGACTATTGTAGTTGTCTGCATTTTAGAGGAAATCCCTCCAAAGTGAGGGAATCCCTGGTTATCACCAGGGTCACCAGAGCTAGTGTCCCCATTTGAATATTTCCCCTCTAATACTGTTCTAGTGACAACCCACATTTTGGCATTTTCTTTTACTTTTGTTCTCACTAAACAACAAACAGGACAAATAGAGAGGGTGAATCTCCCTAATGGCAGGACAGGCAGCAATAAAAAAAAGTTTAGCCTTTGCCCTCCAGAGGAATTACCCCCCTTCCTGACCAGGCCATTTTTTTTGCGATACAGCGCTGCGTTACTTTAATTGACAATTGCGTGGTCATGCAACGCTGCACCCAAATTGATGTCTTTTTTTCCCGACAAATTGAGCCTTCTTTTGGTGGTATTTGATCGTCTGTGCGTTTTTTATTTTTTTGTGCTATAAACAAAAAAAGACCGACAATTTTGAAAAAGAGAACAATATTTATGACTTTTTGCTATAAAACATACTGTATCTAGTAAAAAAAATCAAATTTAGGCCAAAATTTATTCTGTGACATGTCTTTGCTAAAAAAAATCCCAATACGTGTAAATTAATTGGTTTTCATGAAAATTATAACGTCTACAAATGGCGGTATATATACTGGAATTTAAAAACTTTTTTTATATTAGTAATGGAGGCGATCAGTGACTTGTAGCAGGACTGCGGCGGGCATTCTGACACTGGGGGGGGGAACTGACTAACTGCCACTGACATCCCAATGACGCTAATACAGTGATCAGTGCTAATAAAAAGCAATGACACTGTACTAATGACACTGGGCAGGAAGGGGTTAACATCTGGGGCGAACGATTAACTGTGTGCTGTGTGTGCTTTACTGTGTAAGCACACTTTTTGTATAGCTCTGCTATGCAGAGCTATACAAAGCAGCATGCTGGAGCTGACAGGGGAGAGGTTTGTATTGTTTTACATACAGACCTCTCCCCTGTCAGTGTTCCTTGGCAGTCGCTGAGGGGAATCTTTGGCCAGGACCTGGTGATCGACAGCTGTAGCTGCCAATGGCGGCACGGGTAGGCCAGCGTGTGCGCACCCCCTACCCGGAAATACAAGATC